TTTAAATACATAGACACATTTAAATACATAGACATAGACACATTTAAATACATAGACATAGACACATTTAAATACATAGACACATTTAAATACATAGACATAGACACATTTAAATACATAGACACATTTAAATACATAGACACATTTAAATACATAGACTTAGACACTTTTAAATACATAGACATAGACACATTTAAATACATAGACACATTTAAATACATAGACTTAGACACATTTAAATACATAGACATAGACACATATAAATACATAGACACACATTATAGCAATGCAGAGCAGTGTGCGTACAAATACATAGACACGCACATAAATACATAGACACGCACATAAATACATAGACACACATTACAGCAACGCTGTGCAGTGTGCGTCCAAATACATAGACACGCATCTAAATACATACACACACATTACAGCAACGCAGTGCAGTGCGCGTCCAAATACATAGACACGCACATAAATACATAGACACATTTTTGGCACATTCGGAACCTCATACATGACAACATCACCAGACAACAGCACGTGACAACAGCACCAGACAACAGAGAGTAACGACAGACTGAGACAATACATAGACACATTTTTGGCACATTCGGAACCTCATACACATGGTGTGTGTTTGCTTGTGTGTGTGTGTGTGTGTGTGTGTGTGTGTGTGTGTGTGTGTGTGTGTGTGTGTGTGTGTGTGTGTGTGTGTGTGTGTGTGTGTGCGTGTGTGTGTGTGTGTGTGTGTGTGTGTGCTCTCATCCTTTATTTACACCCCGGTTTAACTCAAACTCAAACTCTGCACTTGAACAGTTGCCATCACTCAGGGAAGAGCCATCCCTCTGACCAGTCCTGCAGTTGAAGCCCTCCAGGGGGCCCAGACCCTAACAGTAACCGGTTCCCCCACCCCACAACCAGGAGCTGCTGTCCTGCAGGCTGCAGAGACCCCACACCAGTTCTACCTCCAGGGAGGACAGGTTCTCATCCAAGGTGGGTGCAGAAACCAAAGGTTAGAGGACTAATACAACAGGGTTTTTCCTGGCTCAAATTGAGGCAGAGGTGGTACCATCCTGACCATGCGCCAGCAGCACATGCATACTCTGAGCATTCAACTGCCTCACTTTTTTAAAGGCAAAATATTTTTCGTTGTGTTCTAATCTAAGCTTCTGCTGATTAATAGAATATTCTATTTGACAATGTTTCAAGTGACACAAAACTGGTTTGCTGCTAAAAAATATGAAATAAAACAACAAAATTATCCGGCTGAAATAACAGACTTATTATAAAAGGCTCAGTAATATGCATTAGATTGGTGTTTAGTTCCCTTTTTCCCATCTGATATGTATAGTAAATATATTTTTAAATATTTTACCTACATTTCAGTAACATTTTAGGTTTGTATCAATAACACTTATCTTAGTCAAAATAACACAAATATATCCAGTAAAATATAATGCATTTCATTAACATGCATTTGTGTTGGAAATGTTGATAACATTTAATTTCTGCGGCTATCAATGTAATGATGGCATGTCTATTATGTACGGGTTGGCCATAATCCAGTTTAAATTATGTTCAAAGATGGAAGCGTTTATGAATTATATACTTCAACGGCTTGCCGTACTTCCTGCTCCTGTGTGTGGAGCAGACTTGTAGCAGTAATGTGACTCGTATCTGCAGCGGTTCTGATCCGTAGCGCTGCAGGATGCAGAATAAACAGGATGGTGGGGACTTTTCATCCGTTTGTAAAGTTTAGTCTTTCTTAGTTTTACCATCATCATATATTTTTCTGTGCGCCACTTGATCGTGAGACTGCTACCCGTTAGCTTTAGCATTAGCCCACCTGAGTGTAGCTGCACTTTTGATCCCAAACTTTGGACTGGTTCTGCATTTGCTAGTTCCTTTATTTTCCTCCACTGCATCCAGATGACCACACTGTGCGCCAGTAAAAAGCATTGTTCTTACAAGATGTTGCACCAGTGCTACGTTTAAAAACAGACAGACACGCACAGACTGTCTTTTTGGTCGCACTCTACAGCCCTGCTCTGTTATGGAAGAGCCTGGAGGAAAATCTGGACGCCATTAGCACCAACCACAGATATGTACTAACTAGCGAGAAAAGTAATCTTTGATCTTTTTCTGCAGCAGTTTTAACGCTTTTCGGTGCACTGCTGCTGATACAGCGCCCCTATAGTGGCGCAACGCTGCAACTGCAGTTAAATTAACATCCGCTGGGGGCAGAGTGAAATCAGGCAGGGGTGGCACAAAATTAGCTGGAGGCGGCCGCCACGCAAATTTGAATGCAGGAAAAACCCTGTATAAGCAGGGAGGGCATTTTCATTAAAAAGTGATTATATTAGTCACCGTTAAAATTAGCTCCAAATCACAAGGTGAAGGCAGGAGATTTATCATGAAAACCTCAGTAAATAAGAAATCCTTCAGATGGAAATGTACTCTCATAGTCCTGAAAAACAATTTTCATAAAGTATCTCAAGGATTTTATCACACATTTATCTAATTCCTGCCTTTTAAAATGTAGATAAAACAGTCAAAAGTGGTTTCTGTCTGGATGGTTTTGGATGTGACGCAAGCCTGATCACTGTTGTGCAGGGGCAGATCAAGAGGGAGGCAACTGCCCCTCAGCTGCCCCCCGAACTTAAAATACACCTTCAGTTTGCCTAAAAGTGATGGCTGAAGTCCTGTATAGTAGTTTAATTGTTTATTTTTCCTGAATTAGTATTCTGTTATTAATTTATTAATGAAACATTTGTTTTGCACATTTATTCCTAAAAATTGTTTTTATTTCCTTATGAGGACAAGATTAATAGTTTTAACGTGTTTTTGTAGACTTATTGACTTTGTTTACATATAAAACTAAAGATTTTAGATCTAAAGAGGAGGTCCAGCCCCCATGTAGCATTTTCTAGGTCCACCACTGCTGCTGCTGTGTGTTTATGATAAGGCTTGTTTAGTTAATGATTATCTAGCTTTGTTCTGCTCACATGTGAGTTGGTGATTTACACGATGATCTTAGGGGTTTAAACTCTTAAGTGATGTGTTGTTCCTTAAACCTGTTTTTTGAGAAAAAGAAGGACTTAGGGTGTTTTTTAATAGGCAAATAATAAATCCTGCAGGCTTGCTTCTGAGTCACCTTGTGTTTAATATAATCTCAGAAATAATCAGCTGCTAAATAGCCTCCTTGTTGTTTGTTACTAAAAGCTACGAGGAAACGTTCCTGACCTGCTTAAATTAAATTATTTACAGTCGACTGAGTGAATATGTGATTACGGAGTGAAAACAAATGACGTCAAACCTCTATTATTATTATTATTTTTGTTATTATTTAATTTAATTTAATTAAATTTTAATTTAATTTCATTTTTAATTTAATTTAATTTTAATTTTTTTTGCATGGTTTCAGCAAACAGAATAAACTTCAATCAGGAAGCTCAACAGTTAGCATGGCAGCCACTTGGGACACAATATCCTCTTGTTTGTTGAGCGTCTCTTAAGTTGCGTCACTGGAGCTAAAAATACTCCCCTCCACCCCCACCTCTCCACCCAGCTCACATTGTTTCTCTCCTCTGATCTGATCCAGTGAGGAGGGAGGAAAGGGGGGAGGGATGGACTCTAATCCAGGGTGTTTCACTGACTTCAGCGGGCACGAGTGATGTCACCGTGATGTCAATGCCTGTAATTGTATTCGGGCTGCAAAGTTGTCGAGTTACCACTCTGATTCAGACAGAGCTGAGGCTAAAGGGAGAGAGGAGGAAGGTTCAGATAATAAAAAGTAAAGGCAGAAGAGATTTTAGCTGCTAATTCTTCTCTGCTGAGGAGCTATTTGCTGCCGAGGGGCTGGATTATTGGAAACAGGAGATGGCTGTTACTGGAGATGAGACCGAGTCAGGTAGAGTCCATCTATTTTTCATCAGTTCTCTTTAAAACTTCTCATCTTTTTAATGTTTTAGAGAAACAGAACTTGTTTTAGGTAGTTGGCTGAAGTAGTTATCAGTCACATATTTTAGATTTTTCTTTCGGCAAGATCAAACGACTCGTTTATCCACCTGAAGGAACAAAACCACGAAGCTGCTGAGGAACGTCTGATATATTTACTTTATGCATTTTAGCAATGGAATAATTAAGTTGTGTGATTCACCGGGGTTGTGAAAACACAAGTGTGTGTTAAGCTGCTCCTGTTACTTTGTATCCTGCTGTTTCCCAAACACACACTCGGCTTTCTGAACCAATGAAGCGGTTGTCAGGCAGACAGGGAGGGAGGGGGAGGTGTAGTAAATGAGCGGGTGGGAGGAGGAAAGGGCGAGATAGTTGTTGGTTTGACGTCACTGAGTTTCCTGGAACATGAGCAAGGCAGGGAAGAGAGAATGCAAAATGTACAAGAGAGACGCACACACTGACGTCAGCACAGCCCGAGTCACCATGTTATCACAGGAATAACACGCTCCGTGTGTGTGTGTGTGTGTGTGTGTGTGTGTGTGTGTGTGTGTGTGTGTGTGTGTGTGTGTGTGTGTGTGTGTGTGTGTGTGTGTGTGTGTGTGTGTGTGTGTGTGTGTGTGTGTGAGAACATCAGAGTAGGGAAAGATTGAAACATCTTAGGAACAAAGTGAAAAGAGAGAAGCTGAGGTGAACTTGTTAAGTCATCGCTAAAATACAGACGTGTCTAAAACAGCTGCTTCATTTAAAATCCTTTTCGCACAAAAAGAGTCAATTTCTGCTAAAAGAAAGAAAAAAATAATAATTTATTTTATTTATAATGCATTTTACATTACAGAGGTAATCTCAACGTGCTAAAAAACAAATACAATTAGCAGTTATCAGGAACCTGCAGTGGTGTGATAAACACACACACACACACACACACACACACACACACACACACACACAATAAACAAGATATACAAAATTCTTACAGCTGTTTGGAGCTCCTCGCTCACCGGTCTGACCTGTGACTCCTGTTGCCATGGTTACATCAGCATAATAATTGTTCTTAAGTTACTAATTGAGTCATTAACTTGGAGAAGACAGGTGAAAGTTCTTCCAGGAGCTAAAGCGTTTGGGACGGGTTTGTTTTGGCGATCCTTTTGTATTTCTGTTTTAGTCCGAGGTAAGAGGAGAAAGACGAGGTGAAACGATGAATGAAAAAGCAAAGATTTTGTGATTTAATCATTTATGAACCTTTTAATTGAGCTAAAATGAGGTTTTCCAACATATCAAGGTGTTTAAGTGAACAGAAACTTTAGAAAGTTTTTGTGTTCACCCGCAGCCGCCACCGGAGACATCCCCGCATACCAGCTGAGGTCGCCCAACTCGGGCCTGGCTCAGAGCATCGTGATGGCGGCGTCTCCGAGCAGCATGCAGAGCCCCTCGTCACAACACGCCGAAGAGGTCACCCGCAAGAGGGAGGTCAGGCTGATGAAGAACAGGTATAGGCTTCCTTAACCTCATCAGCTCTGAGGACATGAGTGGGTGTTTCTGCAGCTAGAGCTCATAATGGGAAAATTGAGTTAGCATGATGCTATTATAAGACTACATTTATTTAACTGGAGGGAAATGAAGGTGTGTGTTGAAGAATGTGTTCATAAATTTGTAATCTAATACCAAACCTGCTGTTGTGCAGAATGAATAAAATATTCCTGAACTGATCAAAACGTGTTTTCCTCTTCTTTCCTCTGCAGGGAGGCAGCGCGGGAATGTCGCAGGAAAAAGAAAGAATACGTCAAATGTCTGGAAAACCGCGTGGCCGTGTTGGAAAACCAAAACAAGACGCTGATTGAAGAGCTGAAAGCACTGAAGGACATTTACTGCCACAAAAGCGAGTAACAGCGCTACTTGTGGCCGCTGCCTGAAGACAGTTTATAGACTATGATGTCATATCAACGACAAAAAGACTCCAGAACAAAAACTGCTTTAAACGTCGTCGTCTGTTTGCTCGCTCAGGCCGGATTTACGCCAAATAACGTGTCGTGGAGCGTTCAGACAGCTTGCTCTTGTTCCTATCTTGTGCTCTTTGCATGTGAAGTGATGTACACACGCCTGCTGTTGCTGTCGTGCACGGAGTCCAGCCAGCCAATCAGAGCCATTCGAGGAAGAGGAACAGGAAGAAGGGACGCAGGTGCTTCCTGGAAACTCAGCGCTCCTCCAGAGAGGATTACAGAGCCGTAGGAAGAGGGTCATCCAGGTCAGATCCACCACCAGCTGCAAATCTACGTGTGTTCACCTGATGATGATGTAATCGTGGCTTCTGTTTTCTGTTGTTGCATTCCCATGAAGTAAAGCACAAATAAGGAGAAACATCAAGAACTTTCTCTGGAAAATTAGCATTTTTTTCCTGTTCTTTCATTTGTTTTTGGTTTAAATTAAAGTTTTAGCCAATTTGAAAGACAGTAAAATAAAAATCCTCAAAAGCAGAAGCTGAATGTTTCAGGCCAACATGGAGAACATCATTTAAATCCAAACCTTATCAGAACTTGTGAAAAAGAAGAACATTTAACATAATTCATGATGATTCAGCTGCTCTTTAGTGCAGGAAGTTTGTGTTTAATATAATGGAATCAATTCAAAAGTTTAATATATCTCCTAAATAATACTTATACATTATTACCAGTAAATTAAGTTTATTCTTTACTGAAAAACCTTAAATAAAGGAACATTTTACACATGAAAACATGAGATGATGTTTAGTTTTAAAGAGGAGTCCCGTTTCTGAGAGGATTTAATAAGAATGAAGACTGAATTTGTTTCTGTTACTCTGTTTAAAGGGTGATGCCAGTTTCTTAACTCTGTTTTTGTAAAAACGTTTTATTTTAAATGCATTTTGTGTTCCTGCTGATATTTAAAACTGCCTATTTTCTCTGTTCCTTCTGTAGTTTTGTCTGAGCGATTCTGACCGATTCACATATTTTAATAATCATTTAGACAGCTCCTCTAAATCTGAGACCATGGTCTTGATTCAAAAAAGGGTAGAATGCCTTCTCCGGGTCAGGCATGAGGTCCTGCCCCAAGTGGAGGAGTTTAAGTATCTCGGGGTCTTGTTCACGAGTGATGGAAAACCGGAGCATGAGATCGATAGGGGGATTGGTGCTGCATCTGCAGTGATGCGGGCGTTGTACCGGTCTGTCGCGGTAAAGAGAGAGCTGAGTCGGAAGGCGAAGCCCTCGATTTACCGGTCGATCTATGTTCCCACCCTCACCTATGGTCATGAGCTTTGGGTAGTGACCGAAAGAACAAGATCATGGATACAAGCGGCCGAAATGAGTTTTCTCCGAAGAGTGGCTGGGCTCTCCCTTAAAGATAGGGTGAGAAGCTCGGTCATTCGGGAGGGGCTTGGAGTAGACCCGCTGCTCCTCCACATCGTGAGGAGCCAGTTGAGGTGGTTCGGGCATCTGGTCAGGATGCCTCCTGGATGCCTCCCTGGTGAGGTTTTCCGGGCACGTCCAACCGGGAGGAGACCTGAAGGTAGACCCAGGACACGGTGGAGGGACTATGTCTCTCACCTGGCCAGGGAACGCCTTGGGATTCCCCCGGAAGAGCTGGCCCAAGTGACTGGAGAGAGGGAAGTCTGGGCCTCTCGCCTTAGGCTACTGCCCCTGTGACCCGACTCCGGATAAGCGGATGAAAATGGATGGATTTGGACTTGAGACTATAGCTGCCGAGCCTTTTAGTAAAGATGTTTTCACTATTAAAACTCAATAAAAACAGCCAAATATCTGATGTTGTTAAATAAAAAGTCAGTTTCTCTTTAGTATCAGCTGTGTTCTGTTTGCTGCTTTTGGCTTTTTCTGTCTTTAACAACTCCATCTTTGTGCTTTTGTTTAAGTTGTAAATCTATTTTGGTTTATCTAATAAAATTTCAAACCTGACAAAGTGTTGTGCTATGTTACCTAAATGCTGCTTGTGTTAATTAAAAGTGACATGGGTGGTTTTAAAATTTCCTCAATGACAAAAAGTCTAAAATAGTGGAATATCTGGGCAGAGGAGTCCAAAATGAATGAATTTTAGATTAATTACACTCAAGAAAATGTAATTACTTTTCATTTTAATTGGAATTTAATTTAGATTAATAAAACAAAGTGACAGAAAGCATCAGATGTTTTTACTATGAACTGAATTGTATTATCAGGTATTTTTCTGAAGCTTTTAAACGATAAAAAGTAAAATAAATCAGATTTTCAGAGTGTGGGTGAAAATGAGTGGTTGCCATAGCATCAACAGGGAGTAATTGACCCTGAGGAGTTTGAGAACATTGAAAGCATGAAACACTCTGATTCCTGTTTCACAACATTCCTCCATGCATCTGCAACTAGTACACACACACACACACACACACACACACACACACACACACACACACACACACACACACACACACACACACACACACACACACACACACACAGGTCTGTCTTTCTAGCATAGTGAGGACCCTCCATCGACTTCCATTCATTTTTGTGACTCCACTATGCCCAACCATAACCAGTGCTGATCTATTTCTAACACTAACCTTAACTAAAACCTCATTCACACCAGACCTCTACAACCAGCTGGTACACACACACACACACACCCCTCTCTCTCTCTCTCTCTCTCTCTCTCTCTCTCTCTCTCTCTCTCTATATATATATATATATATATATATATATATATATATATATATATATGTGTGTGTATATATATATATGTGTATATATATATATATATATATATATATATATATATATATATATAGAGAGAGAGAGAGAGAGAGAGAGAGAGAGAGATACACACACACACACTTCATATATATATATATATACCGTAAATCCTCTAATACAGGCCCAGGCCTGTATTTGACTCAAGCTCATCAAGCTCCAGGCCTTTATTGGAAGGAGGACCAGAATTAGAGGCAGGCCTCTATTTCTATTTGAGCAAAATGAACTAATGGTTCGCTGGAGTTTTTGACGGTTAAAATTGCGCCCACATTTTCAAAGTTAAACACATTTCTTTTAACAACGGTAGTTTCTGCTTCAGCCCTCTCCCCCCTCCCCCTGCGCAGCGGCCGCAAACTCACTGATGCGCCTGCAGCCTCTCGGAGTTCCTGCTGCTCTAAACATTAAAATAATTATTTCATTTTCTGTTCCTCACTTCTGATTACCTTCAATGGTGTCTGTTTGTTGCAACCACCAGGTACAAAAACTAACTTGTTTTTATTTGACAATTTTTCTGTCCTGCCTGTTTATTATCTTCCTGCATCTCCTCTCAATCCTAAAGAGAAACTGCTACCTGGGTTCATATATATTCACCTTATGAGTTACCTTTGAACTGCAGTTCTAAAAGATCTACCGATCACAAAAACAGCGGAGTGCGTGCCGGCCGCATCAGTGATTGGTGCGTCACCGAGGACAAAAAAGGTGATGCGCCCTGATCCACAGCAGCGAAAAGCATCAGGCACGAATAAAAGAATAAAAGACAGAAAACATAAAAGGAAATGAGCCGACATGAACAATCGCGTGTTAAATTAGATTTTGAGGTGGCGACACCTGATTTGATAATATTACTGTGGCCGTGCTCAGGACGCAGATGTCTGGAGCGCGTCAACAATCAGAGCTTTGCATGCGCAAGCTGGTTAAGGTTAGGATGGGGGTGAGGGGAATGTTAAATTGCAAGAGGGCAAAGGTCACAATTTGGTTAAATGTCCGTTTTACAGCGGGTGTCAGTACCGATGCTCTGGCACAGCGCGTTGCCTCCCGAAGCGCAGGAGCTTGTCACCTGCTGACAGCAGGCTGCTGTCTTTTCCGTGGACTGCATCTTGCCGGTCGTTATCACGTGACAGCGACTAGTCGATGACAGGCATAAAAAGTCACTATAGAGCGGTGAAGTCGACTAGTGACTAGTTCATACAACCCATGCTACTGCTCCCCAGAGTGTTCTGCAGCATAATCAGCACGTTCTCTTTGAACTTGATATCAAATTTTTGCCTCCTCTTCGTCCCCGCACGGTTAAAGTTACCCTCGCGGTCTATCACTGGCAAATCAAAAGTGAGACGGATGACACAACCGCCCCCCCTACTTGCTTGTTACCACATTCCACCTGGCCACAATAAAAAAACGGCCTTTATTCACCTCCGCCGACTCCGACACCAGCCAAAATATGATACCCGGCAGTTAATTAAATACAGGCTAATATTAGAGGATTTACGGTATACACACACACACACACACACACACACACACACACACACACACACATACGCACGCACGCACGCACACGCACACACTTAATTTGGTTACACTTAATTTGGTTAAACTAAATAAAAACACTTGAAACTGCAGTTCATGATTGATCCAAATAGAATAAATCAAAAGTTACATAAATGGTGGCTTTCAAGCAGATCACAGAATACCTCTAGAAAAACTGTCTGCTTGACCCTTACCAATCTGGATTCAAAAAGGGCCACTCCACTGAAACTGCTCTGTTAGCAGTGACGGAATCCTTAAAAGAAGCTAGAGCGACTGCCAAATCCTCAGTGCTTATCCTGCTCGACTTATCGGCTGCATTTGACACTGTCAACCATGGCTTCCTTTTGTCCACACTCTCTAGCATGGGCATCACAGAGAAAGCACACGCCTGGTTTGAATCGTACCTCACAGGATGATCATTCAGTGTATCTTGGCTTGGACAATCCTCTACCGTGCACCAACTTGCCACAGGAGTCCCTCAGGACTCTGTACTATGACCTCTTCTCTTTGCCATATACACCACCTTACTGGGTGAGATCATTCGATCACATGGCTTCTCCTACCACTGCTATGCAGACGACACCCAGCTCTATCGGTCATTTCCACTGGACGACAACACTGTCTCTGCACGAATATCAAACTGTCTCTCTGACATATCAAAATGGATGAAATGCCACCATCTCCAAATCAACCTCTCTAAAACTGAACTACTTGTCATCCCAGAAAAACCATCCATACAGCACAATATCTCAATCCAAAATGACTTCCTATCTCTGGCTCCTTCAAAGGCAGTTCGAAATCTGGGTGTTGTGATTGATGAACACCTGACCTTTAAAGATCATGTTGCCTCTGTTGCTCGTTCATGCCGCTTTGCGTTTTAGCTTCACGAAGGGTCTCTAATTTGTGAAAAAGGTCACATTTTCCCAGCTGGGTCAAGCTGGGTCAGACTGTGACTTTTAGTTCCACAGATTAACCCAGGAGCCCTGATGTCTGAAGAATATCATCCTTTATCTGCTGCTGTTCCGTCCCAGAAGAAGGACACTTCAAGTTTCACAATAATAATTTAAATAATAATTTTAATAAACTCTTTGACTTTATTGAGGTTTTTTATAATCATCATAAATAATCACTTGGTTCAGTATAAATGTATTTTTAATTACTGAAATGAATTATTATGCTTTGGGTATAATTATGATTGTGGTTGATGATCAGTAATGTGTGTTTAGCAAATCAGAAGGTCAACTTCCACCTTATCCATCCAACACAGAACTGATCCAGAGTAAAGGTTAATCTGCCATCACATGTTTTTTGACTCATGACCAAATCTTTCTTCCTCTGAGAGTGGGCGTGTTCTTAGGAGTTTGTTAAACTAACTTTCCAGCAGAGAAACTTCAGTTCGTGAACCAACCACCATCACTGAGGATACGGGAACGGCCGTCCCTAACCTCCACCTGCTGTTCTGTCACGCCGATAAGAATAGCTACGAATAAACGCAACTGCAACCAGCTGACGAAAAAAATCCTCCAGAGTTATTGATTTTGAGAGTTAAGACGAGAAACTCCTTCAGAGTTAAGCCAGACGCTCGACACTGTGTACCCGGGGACATCTTCGGACCAGAGAGTCGGTTCCTCGAGTCTCCTCTACCGGACCGAGTACCTGGAGGCTGACACCATCCTCCCTTGACATCCGGATCCTCACGAAGGGTCGTCTTGCTGGGTGAGGTAGCACACAGATTGTGTCTGATGCTGTTTTCTCTAAGTAACAACAGTTAGCTGCAAAACCATCATGTCAACCCACAACGCGCTTCTCTCTCTGAAAGAAACCTTCTGAGGATTCATCCACGCATCCAAACTCGTATTTTCAATTTAGCTTTCATTCAGTCACAGGTTTGCCTTTTAAATAAGTTTAATATCAAAGCTGTTAAATTGTCATTCATGAAATGTCATTTTTAATTGTCATTTAAATTGTCGTTTCAAATCGTCAAGTTTCAAATTGTTAGTAATAAATTCTTCATTTTTAAACTTGCCTCATTCTTTGAAATGAAAGACAGAAAGGTATAAATAGTTCTAGTTATTGAAAAAGCAAAGATTCCTAACTTCTGATTCAAAAATAAACTAATGCTATTAAATTTAATCATCTTAAAGTAAACATTAATCTTTGGATTAAATGTAGACCAAACAGGTTGGTGTATGAACTTAAATCGATTATATAAGTATCCTGGATGTTTATACATGATATGAGCTTCATATATTAATCTGCTTGGTCATTCTTAGAATCTACAACTGATAGCAGTGTGATTCTAGTATGTAGAAATAGCGTTGAATAACATATGAAAGATCAGACCATACCTAACACAACATGCCACCCAGCTCCTGGTGCAATCTACTGTTATCTCCCGCCTCGATTACTGCAACGCCCTTCTAACTGGTCTTCCAGCCTGTACGGTGAGACCTCTTCAAATGTTCCAGAACGCAGCGGCACGTCTGGTCTTCAATCAGCCAAAAAGAGCACACGTCACCCCTCCGTTCATTGAGCTCCACTGGCTACCGCTAGCTGCACACATCAAATTCAAATTGCTAACACTAGCATACAAAGTCCGAGATGGTACGGCTCCCATCTACCTGAATCCTCTTGCAAAGGCTTACGTCTCGGCCCGGCCGCTCCGGTCATCACAGGATCGTCGGCTAGCAGTGCCTACGCCACGCCCAGGACAATCCAGACTCTTCTCATACATCGTTCCACAAATGTGGAATGACCTTCCAAGCACTACAAGAACAGGGGCTTCCTTTTCGATTTTCAAGAAACTCCTGAAGACCCTGCTCTTCAGAGAGCATCTTTTTAACTATCACCCTCCCTGCACCCGTCCCCCTCTCTACTGTCCACTCCTTGTTCCCTGCTCTCCATGACTGATGTCAAGTTGTTGTTGTTATTGTTATTGTTAGCCTCAAGGGCAACATGCCGATTATCACTTGTAAGTCGCTTTGGACAAAAGCGTCTGCTAAATACATAAACATAAACAACATAAACATAAATGCCTGCAAGTTGGATCCGAAACGCTTGAATAAAGTTTTGAGAACTTTAAAACCAAAATCATAAAGACCAACTCTAAACTTCACTTTTTTCTTTCCATCCCAAACTCAGAACAGGGTGATAAAAGTTTTCCTGTGTTAGCGTTTCATTTTCAAACATCCTACAGCCTTTGCTCCAGAGTAGCTGAGTGGAAATTTCCACCTTGTTTCTTGTTTCTTGCATCAGAGGTGAAGGCCATCATCACCTCCACAGGGCTGGTTTTAGCAGCTGAGGGAGACCTCTGGTGGTGAGAACGTCCTACTGCACTCTGACAGGTCTCCAGGAAGCCTGGTGAACTTTAACATCTAGATTCCAGGAAGTCATGTTGAGGTTGGTAAAATAGAGGATAAATCAGCACATTTGTACAGAACATTTCATACAAAAAATCTACTTCTGAACTCAAGAACTGGCCCTAAAATGTAAAGTATTCATAAATATAAGATGTTTACATCTCATTTGTTTGATAAGTTACCAGAAAATATAATCTATTTCTTACCATAATGTTATGAAATCATCTCATAATAAAATCAAAAAATGTTTTTTAATTCATTTTTTATTTGTGGTTTGCTTCTTTTGTCAATGTTTCTTGGTTCCTCCCTTTCAGCTGGGAGGAGCCAACAGGTGGTGAAGCTAGAAGCTGATTGGCTCCTTTCTCTCTGCTCAGTCACCTGATTTAGGATCAAAGATAAAACTGGTTTCTGTTGAGGAAGTGAAACTCACTCAGTCACTGTTCCTGAGAGAAAACATGGAGAAGAAAGGAGATCAGCTGGACCGAGAAAATTTCTGCTGTTCCATCTGTTTGGATCTCCTGAAGGATCCAGTAGCTATTCCCTGTGGACACAGCTTCTGCATGAACTGTATTGAAGCTCACTGGGATGGAGAGGATCAGAGAGGAATCCACAGCTGTCCACAGTGTCGTGAGACCTTCACACAGAGGCCTGTTTTAAAGAAAAACTTCATGTTAGCAGCTTTAGTGGATCAGCTGAAGAAGACTGGACTCCAAGCGGCTCATGCTGACCACTGCTATGCTGGACCTGAAGATGTGGCCTGTGATTTCTGCTCTGGAAGAAAACGGAAAGCCACCAAGTCCTGTTTGTTCTGTCTGGCCTCTTACTGTGAGAAACACCTTCAGCCTCATTATGATTCAACTCCATTAAAGAGACACAAGCTGGTGGAGCCCTTCAAGAACCTCCAGGAGAACATCTGCTCTCTTCATGATGAGGTGATGAAGATGTTCTGTCGTACTGATCAGAAGTATATCTGTTATCTCTGCTCTGTGGAGGAACATAAAGGCCACGACACAGTCTCAGCTGTCTCAGCGACCGAGTGGCAGAGAGAGCTGGAGGTGAGACGAGAAGAAATCCAGCAGGGAATCCAGGACAGAGAGAAAGATGTGAAGCTGCTTCAACAGGAGGTGGAGGCCATCAATCACTCTGCTGATAAAACAGTGGAGGACAGTGAGGAGATGTTCACTCAGCTGATCCGTCTGATCCACAAAAGAAGCTCTGATGTGAAGCAGCAGATCAGATCCCAGCAGGAAACTGAAGTGAGTCGGGTCAAAGAGCTTCAGGAGAAGCTGGAGCAGGAGATCACCGAGCTGAAGAGGAAAGATGCTGAGCTGAAGCAGCTCTCAAACACAGAGGATCACAACCAGTTTCTACACAACTACCCCTCAGTGTCAGCACTCAGTGGGTCTCCACACTCATCCGGCATCAAGATCCGTCCTCTCAGATACTTTGAGGATGTGACAACAGCTGTGTCAGAGCTCAGAGACAAGCTACAGGACATCCTGGGGGACAGCTGGACAAACGTCTCACTGAAGATCACTGATGTGGACGTTCTACTGTCAGAACCAACGAGCAGAGCTGGATTCTTACGATATTTATGCAAAATCACACTGGATCCAAACTCAGCAAACAGACGACTGTTAATGTCAAAAGAGAACAGAAAAGTAACAGATCTGGAGAAACATCATCCATATCCTGATCATCCAGACAGATTCACAGATTTTTCTCAGGTTCTGAGTAGAGAGAGTCTGACTGGACGTTGTTACTGGGAGGTGGAGTGGAGCGGTGTTGGAGCTTATGTAGGAGTCTCCTACAAGAATGTCAGCAGATCAGGACGTGAATGTGGAATTGGATGGAATGAAAAATCTTGGGCTTTAGATTGTGGTCCAGACAGATACGCATTTTATCACAATGACGTCTCCACCTCCATCTCAGGTCCTGATTCTTCCAGAGTAGGAGTGTATCTGGACCACAGAGCAGGTCTTCTGTCCTTCTACAGCGTCTCTGACACCATGACTCTCCTCCACAGAGTCCAGACCACATTCACTCAGCCGCTGCACGCTGGAATTCATTTGTATGTGCAAAGCTATGCTGAGATTTGTAAACTGGAATAATCCAATCTGCATAAATCCAGATGTTTTGATTCTCTTTTTTCAAGTTGTTTTATTTCTAAGCTGCTCTGAGATCAGCCATTAAACAGTGATCGTCACGTCTTATATTTTAGGTTGTTTTGCTTCTTCTGTTCAGTTTTTCTCTGTTTTTACCAATCTTTGTGAGTTCACATGGAGATTCATTTATAACAAATCAGTAAAACCATCTGATCAAGTGTGAAAAAGTTTATCTGAGTAATGATTCTGGTGAAATAACAGATATTGTATAATTTTCTCTCCTGCTTTTGATGAGAAAAAAGGGGAATGAATGAATGAATGAATGAACGAACGAACAAGAGAAAAATTTTCTCACTAGTTCGTTTCCTGACCTCATGAGGATGTTTTTATGGATGTAACTGATTTCAGGTCACCAGAGTCAAACATCCAGATTCTCTCCAGTCAAGCTGCTGATCTTCTGTTCCACATTTGATTTGTTCAGTAAAACTAATAAACTTCATGTTCTGATGAACACATGAAAGTGATTGTTTTGCTCTTTGACAGTCTGGATTGTAGAAACATTTTCATTTCAGTCATTTTAAACTCAAACTAGGAGGACTTAACCTACATCCAGTCACCAGAACTTTATTTTCCACGTTAAGCATAAAGATTATTGAACATTCGGATCATAACAAGCAGGAAACCATTTAAATATTTAAAAGTCAGTAGTTTTAGTTCCTGATGTCCCAAATAAGTAATTTCATTTACAAAGCGCTTTACCACCACTGGTCACAATGGTTCAAAGTGCTGGATAGAGTCAAAAACAACCAGATATTAAAGCTGAGATAAATTCTAAGGAGTTCTGGGGGATTTTAACCTAATCAGATGTTTTAAGTAGAAAAACACCTGACCATGATGTCCTTCCTTTGGTGTCAAGAGCCAAATCCACCAGAACCTGGTGGGAATTCAACACATCCTTCATAATTTTAAACTCAAACATGCAGATTGCTTCTGGAGAAGAAAAATAAAGTGCACCTTTTCCAGAAGACCTTTGTTCTTTGAGACAAGACTTCCTCTGTTTTTAACAACATCCAGAGTCTGTCTCTGGAGCTCCATGATGGAAATGTTTTGCTCAAACCTGAGCAGAAAAAAACAAAAAAAACCTAAACTGTCTAGTTCAAACAGCAAACTACAAAATCAGGGTGGAGGGTTTGGACTTGCATCTGGATTAAGGGTTTTCTAATGGTGGAAGTTTGGTAGAGTCAGGTGTAATTCTTGTTGGATCATGACCTCTGACCTGTACTACAGTGTTTTAGATTAGGCTAAGCTAGCAGAGGAATTATTTGCCCATCCAGTAATCAGAGGGTTGCAGGGTTGAGCCCGGCTCAGTCACCATTGTGTCCTTGAGCAAGACACTTAATCCTCCATAAACACTGGAGGTGGCCTGTTGCCCCAGTGTTGTGTAACCTTGCTTCCATCAATGCGCCCCAGGGCAGCTGTGGCTCTAATGTAGCCACCAGTCTGAATGTGTGTGTGCATGGGTGAATAAGTGGTTCTGTAAAGCATCTTGGGGGGGAGGGGGTTGGGGGGGGGGGGGGGGGGGGGATATAGGATCCTAGATGGTTCTATATCAAATACAGGCCATTTAGCCATTTTATATCCAACATGTTCAATAAGAAAATACAAACTTATGCTGGTAGAGTTTTTTCAAGAAATTCTTATTTAAAAAGTTAAACCCCCCCCCCCCCCCCCCCTCCACCTGTAAAACACAAAAGCAACAGTTTAAAGAGGCTCTGTGTTTACACAGGGTGCTGCAGAGAGCATTGTGTGGCTGTTAGAGGAACTGCAGTAAGCTAAATGAGCACTCCTGTCTCAGTCAAACAGATTTATCATTATTTACCTAATTAATTTCCATTGGCAGCTAATGGCGGAGGGTCTCAGTCAGGAGGAGGAGCCAACTCCTGTTGACAAGCTGAGAACCAGGCATGAATTGCTGGCAGGATTCATCTTCAAATGTCCTTTTACCAACAGAACACCCCAGCATATCCATGATGATGGCCCACCCTTCACCCAGGACAAACACATCTGTGGTTCCTAATTAGACCAGATCAGTTCTTGACTGTCTCGGGAACCTGCAGAGTATCAGGAGATCAACAGTTCACATTTGATCACAACATTAGAAAGACCATCACTAAACTCACCTTCCTACTCTAGTTTCTCCTTCTACTCCTTCTTCAAACTTCCTCCTGGTACCAACGTCATTTCCTGTCCCCATGTTATAGATCATGTGATCAAACGCTGTAAAAGATAAGCCCATTTCCTTATCCTTTCCTCTCCTATCAGGAGTTTAGTTCACATTTGGTCAACATTAGGAAGACCACCACTAAACTCATCCTCCTTCTGGCCTTCATCCTCTCCTGCCCCCTCCTCCTGCTGCTCAACAGCCCTTTGAGCTGCACTTTGATCTCTGTGGCACACATTAGAAATTAATGTCATGAGGAAATTATTTGTAAAGAAGGAATTCAGTGGATACAGAGAAATGCGTAATAAGTAGAGTGAGAAAAATAAGGAGAGGGTGATGATGACGGCCAATAGACGAGGTCTATTACCTTCAAATTGACAAAATATGTATTGATTTTAATCATATTCTTGTGCTTGTATTTTATTTTCATAGGGATGATAATTTGGAGGAGGTGATGGAACAAGGTGAAACTAAAAAAGAAGGATCTTCACAAATGTAAGTACAAGGTTGTATCTGTATTTGGCTGTCACATTTGTCAGGAAAAGTAAACGATAATTACTTTTTTAGGTTATTTTGTGTGGGAATTGAAGCAAACATTGACGAGGAAGAGTTCAACAATATTCAAAACTCTGTGTAAGTATTCAGATGTTAATAAAATATGTCTAATTTTCCATACTAAAAACTTTATAATGTGTATATTCAGGATAGAGTCATCAGATGACACATGGTCACCAAACAGAGAAACAGAAGTTGATTCGTCTTCAGAGGAGGACGAAACCATCGAGATGGACAGCGGTACTGATGACAGCGGTGATGAGGACTACACACCTTATACACACATAAGGTAATTCCTTTCGTTTAACATTCTATAAAACTGCAATAGCACATAGTTAATAAAAAGCTTTTGTTCACAGGACTGGAGCAGCATTACAAAAAACATTACAACTTGAGACTCTGCAAGAAATTAACATAGAGGATACAGTTCATGACTGTAATATCCCAGAAGCAACTGACCGACGTTTGACAAGCAAGAAAGTTCTTCCTCGACTCTACAAGCTAAGGCCTGAGGATCCAAGGCGTTATGGTTTGCTGCCCGGAGTTCCTGCACCATCAACAGAGGAACTTCTACAACACCTACGGACTTGTGGTGATGGTAAAATAAAACGTTATCTGCCTTACATCTTCCACACTATAGTCCATTGCTAATTGAGTTTATTTTTTATTTACAGGTAAAACTTTGTCACAGACATAGGTGTTGGGGGAGGCAAGAGAAAACCCAAAACCTTCTTTATTTTTGTTTCCTGTGTTTTTTTTTTTTGAAAATAAAGATATATTTTGGGGAAATAAGGACTAATAATTTAAAAATTTATGTAAAATGTTGGAGGTAGACATAATTTTTTGTTGTTGTGCAGGAGTTTTAAAATTTATGGTATTTTTACAAATGCAACACAGAGTTGTGCTTTAGAACACTTTATTAGAGCATCAAACAAAAATATATAAAAACAAACTTATGTAAAATATCAAATATATACATTTATTTACAATCGTCTTGGAATAAAACCAGTGTAGTTACCATTGGGGTCAGGGAATTTTGCAGAATAAACTCCTCCATGTGTGGTACAGTTGAAATACATGTCTGGGGAGGCTGTTGGCAGCATTTCTTTTCCAAATCAGTTGGCATATCTCTGCAGTGGGAGCATACACACCATGAAGGTTGATTGGGTGTTGGAGGTGTTGTGGTAGGTGGACCAGAGAGGGCAAGTACATCAAAGAGAACACCAATGTCTGTCCAGCACCATGGTAAGGATGTCAATAGCCTGCTGAGGGTTCAGGTTCTGTATGTGTTGCTACAAAAGTGGAAAGAGATGCTACAGCAACAGTTATGCTTACACGTTCAAAGTCTATTCGCTCGGAACAAAGATTCCGAACTCGAGAGAGATCTTCATCTCCAAGGTCCACAGCTGAGTGTCTCACACTTCTTCGGCCTCTGGATGCACCACGGCTTTGAGATGATGGTGAGCATCTCCTTTTTGCACCACGTCTTGAGGATGCAATAGGAGGTTCAAACTCTTCCTCAGAGGATTCCTCAATCACTGAACTCTAAATTGTATTAGAATAAAAAAAATTATACTAATATAAAAAGTACTCTTGCATATTGATCAATTTTGACACAGATCAGGTTTGCATCTAGTCAAAATTTGGGCTAAACCAACAATAAACAGAAACCCTATGAAAACAACCATGATTATAGGAGGACTACACAGAATGCAGTGTTTATTCATGATTTCCACATAAATTATTTATATTCTTTGATATATTCATCCCATCTTGAATGGCAAAGCAATTAAAAATAAGCTAGTTACTTGCAATAAAATGCTAACAATTTGATAGGATTAATTTTATTTACAATATAGATTGCCAACTGTTACTGGTATTTTAAAATATAAATATATTTATAGATATTCTTTATAAAATGCCTTTTGTAAACAGTAAGTGTTTAATGTGCTGGTTAAAAACAACTTTCTTACCTCAGATAACTCCATTGCTAACACTAGCTCAGCTCTATTACAAGAAGCAATGCTCCGATGTTGACTCTGCTTTTCCTGCGCGTGCACATTGGGAGGTGTGGCTTTCGGCTCTTTCAGGAAGGGCGGGGGAGTGAGCAACAGCCGTTCGAATTTAAAAATCTCCTCCTCCTCACCCTGACGGCGTCATCCTGCGGTTTCCTGTATCTTTACATGAAGGGAAATATAGAAATTTATTAGACAGAAATAAAAGTTATTAAAACTTAAACTGCATCCTAATTATGTCTTATTACTCTTTCCCCTTGACAGATGGTGACATCCTCAAACTAAAGGGAGTTCTTTTGAATGCTTTCATTCTTTGAAGTTTCCTCATCAGAATCAACCTCTGTATCCAAGGTCTGTGTAACAATGAAATCTGGTGTATTTTGATTTGTCTTCTTCCCTTTTTTGAGTTCACTCAGATCCAGCAGGTCGTGGGCAAACCGCCTGGACTTGACTGACATCTAGTGGTTCCCCCTCTCTCATTTGAAATAAACCAAATATATTCATGTAATATGTTTCAAACACTAAACAGAAGCTGTCATTATATTCAAAGTGATTGATTAACTTAATCAATGGTGATAAACTTCAGAGCCACTGCTTCAGCTGTTCCCTGTTTTAAACCCTTGTAAACCTCACCAAATGCACCGTTTCCCAGAAATTTCTGAAGAATATAAACTCCCGATTGCCCGGTAAGGCAGCATGGTGGCGCAGTTGTTAGCACTGTTGCCTCGCAGCACGAAGGTCGCAGATTCGAAACTCGGCTATGACCTTTTTGCGTGGAGTTGCGTGTTCTCCCCATGCATGCGTGGGTTTCCTCCAGTAGGGTTGTCACGGTATGAAAATTTAACCTCACGGTTATTGTGACCAAAATTATCACGGTTTTTGGTATTATCGCGGTATTTTTTAAACGGTGTTGCATATGTTCAGAAAGCATTGATAGTCCTGTTCTACACAAACTGAAATAGTTTTGAAAAGGTTTAACAGTGTTTATTAAACCTAAAATAACACAAAGCCTTAGCAAAAGTGCAACTTTTCACAAGTAAAGGAACAAATAGCTTATTTTTCTGGAACATGTTACAGTAGTCAGTGCAGGTTTAAATTATACAAATCCAAACATTCAAAACATAAACAATATGTAAACAAATCAAAGAAACACCACTTGTTTTCTCATATACTTGTTCTCTTCATTATCAAAATGAAAATCTAAAACTCCAGTCCACACTTGACTTGAGCACTGTACAAGTCAACCTTAAAAAATATGTAGTTAAAATAAATAGCCACTTTAAACAAATTACTAAAACAACTACTACACTATGTAATCAAATCCAAATGTTCAAGTATAAATGGCATTGAATAAGTAAACAAATCAATGACAAGGAACTAATTGTATATTTCTCTTCATCATCAACAAATAAGATGCTTCATCCAGCAACAGGGTGTCCGTGACACGGTTTAAATGCTGGCAGAGGACGCTGCGGCTGCAGTATATAGTGACTCGTTGCATTCTCTCTCAGCCAAAAGTCCTCACGTCATGCATTTAAGCTAAAATGCTCATGTTAACTTACCTTGCACTGGCTGTAGAGACGTGGGTGATGGTCACGCAGATGTGCCATTAGATTCGAAGTGTTGCTGCCTTTTGCAGACACTTGTTTCCTGCACGTTCTGCAACCGGGATAGCCGTCTTCTATTAACTGTCCCTCAGCGTTTTTCAGAAATCCCAAATATGCCCATACTTCCGAGGTAGTCTTCTTTGAGGGCTGATGGATGTCCTGGGCGCTGCCGTCTCCTCCTTCGGCCATTATTTCAGCTTCAAAGTTTTGGTGCCGTTGCAAACTAAAAAGTGCGTGTGCGCGCCGCGGGAACTTCAGCTGAAGCGACGGTGGCTGGTAAGGGTCACCACGCCGAAACCGCGGCCACGGTAAACCCACCGAGATAATTTAGTTTTTTAAAAACTGGACGGTTATTTTTATTGTCAACTTTTTTACCGGGGTTTACCGCTATACCGGTTACCGTGACAACCCTATTCCCACGCACCCTCCAGGATCCCCCTAAGGGTATAGAGCTGGTCCAGTGTTCCACGGCCAGGACGAAAACCACATTGCTCCTCCTGAATCTGAGGTTCAACAATCCGACGGACACTCCTCTCCAGAACCTGAATAGACCTTACCAGGAAGGCTCAGGAGTGTGATCCCCCTGTAGTTGGAACACACCCTGCGGTCCCCTTTTTAAATAAGGGGACCACCACCCCAGTCTGCCAGTCCAGTGGGACTGCCCCCAATGTCCACGCGATATTGCAGAGCCGTGTCAGCCAACACAGCCCCACAACATCCAGAGCCTTAAGGAACTCCGGGCGGATCTCATCCACCCCTGGAGCCTTGCCACAGAGGAGCATTTAAACCACCTCAATGACCTCAGCACCAGAGATTTGAAAGGCCAATTCAAAGTCCCCAGACTCTGCTTCCTCACTGGAAGACGTGTCGGTGGGATTGAGGAGGTCTTCGAAGTATTTTGCCCACCGATCCACAACATCCTGAGTAGAGGTCAGCAGCACACCGGCCCCACTATACTGTAGACAGTGTTGGTAGCGCACTGCTTTACCCCCCGAGGCGCCGGATGGTGGACCAGAATCTCCTTGAAGCTGTATGGAAGACTTGCTCCACGGTCTCACCAAACTGCTCCCATGCCCGGGTTTTTGACTCGGTGACCACCCGAGCCGCGTTCCATTTGGACTGCCGGTACCCGTCAGCTGCCTCTGGAGTCCCACAGGCCAAAAAGACCTGATAGGACTCTTTCTTCAGCTTGACAGCATCCCTAACTGCCAGTGTCCACCAGCGGGTTCGGGGGTTGCCACCACGACAGGCACCGACGATCCTGCGACCACAGCTCCGGTCGGCCACCTCAACAATGGAGGCATGGAACAGGGTCCATTCAGACTCAATGTCTCCCGCCTGCCCCGGAACATTTTGGAAGTTCTGTCGGAGGTGGGAATTGAAGCTCCTTCTGACAGGAGACTCTGCCAGACATTCCCAGCAGACCCTTGCGATACGTTTGGGCCTGTCTGGTCTGACCGGCATCCTCCCCCACCATCTGAGCCAACTCACCACCAGGTAGTGGTCAGTTGACAGCTCTGCCCCTCTCTTCACCCGAGTGTCCAAAATATGCGGTCGCAGGTCAGATGAAACAACAACAAAGTTGATCATCGAGCTGCAGCCTAAGGTATCCTGGTGCCAAGAGCACATATGGACACCTTTATGTCTGAACATGGTGTTCATTATGGACAATCCATTACTGGCACAGAAGTCCAAAAACAAAACACCACTCGAATTCAGATCAGGGGGTGCATTTCTCCCAACCACACCTCTCCAGGTCTCACTGTTGTTGCCCACGTGAGCGTTAAAGTCCCCCAGCAGAACGAGGGAGTACCCTGAAGGAGCGCTTTCCAGCACCCCCTCCAAGGTCTCCAAAAAGGGTGGGTAGTCTGAACTGTAGTTTGGTGCATAAGCACAGACCACAGTCAGAACTCATCTCTGATTGTGTTGTCTTGTGTGTTATGTTCCGTTATAATAATGTCAAAATTCAATAAACAGATTTTGTCCAAAAACATGAATGAATCTTGCCACGTAATGTTTTCATGTGTTCATAAATCAGCCAGAAAAAGTTCTTTCTTGTTGCATTAACCTGTCTGCTTCTACAAGTTTTCATTGTATACTTGAAGAAGTACCCAGCTCTGTGTGTGTCTTTTTTTTAAAACTTCATTGAAAAGGATCAATCTTCCATTACAGCATCAGAATAGATAAGAAACAAGCCAGGGTTAATACACACACAAAGAAGGAAGAAAAATAAAAGAAGGGAGGAAGAAGACTTATTGTAAGTTCACAAGACCGAAACAGGTCAAAGCATCAAGAGTCCTGATGGCCCTGGGGTCCAGAGATGACTTAACAGACTCATTATAATGTTTGATTTCAATCATCAGATGTCTGAATAAGGGTTTAAGCAGAACATTCCAACTTGTGGAGATGATATTGTAAAAAAGCCCCCCTGGTGGCTGCCAAGCCTCAGACACATTTCTATGACATTCTTTCCACTACTTGTAGATGTGTTGCTTCACTTGGACTTTCTCAGCCTCATGCTGGTAGTAATGCTGTTATGGTATCTGCCACCAGCATTGTCCCTGTCTTCTAATATCGATCCTGGTTATTGTGTGCATCTTTCGAGTAAGAACTGGTATTTGTTATGACTTTACAGGCATTGTGTCATGAGCCGGGGTGAGTACTCCTCTCAATAAACTATCTTTGAGTGTGTTGTAGGAGAGGGAGTTTTCCAGCTGCACCTGGTCAGCAGTTAGCAGGCCTCCTACATAAGGTGGATGGAGGACACAGCTCGAGGCCGGATGATTGCTTCAGCTTGGTAGTTTCCAGCCCTTGTTGTGCCTTCAAGGTTTTTGAGACTCTAGTGTTTTTGTACTTTCATGATTGTGTATTTTTTTGTGATTACCTGCCTTCAGGTTTTTTTTCCCAACGCCTCAGGATACTGCTACGCCCCAGGATTTTTCACTTGTGCTCCATAGGATTCCTGGACTCTGCTCAGACACCTTCTCCGTTCACCCTGACCGACCCGCTCTCCTGCTCGCCTCACCCTCCCTCTCCTGGACCCCCCCCCCCCCCCCCCCGCTCGGATACACCCCCGGCTCTCAACCTGCCCCCCTCACACCAGTGTTTCCCCCCAACTCCCAGTAAGTCTTTTCTCTGCACCTTCCTAGTTAAGACTTACCTCCCAGGACTCACCCGTGTTTGTTCTCCCCTCTTCAGATGCTGCACTCCTATTCCCAATCCCACTGGACTTCCCAGTGCGCCTTCAGTTTCCCCCCTTTTAAAATAAATACATTATTTTTCCCTCATTCGGTGTGAGCAGTCATTACTGGATCCGGATTGGTAGAGAAGTGGGGAATCCCTACCACTTGTCTATCCACGCCCCTCTCTGTGTCCTCACTGGATGATAGAAGTCCCTCCACCATCACCCATCAAACCATTCCTCTTCAACTAAAGGTATCTGGTAATCATACAGAACTCCTGGTGTTACAAGTCAATTTACCGGGCTCGCTCCACTCTGCTAGATGTTACTGATATCTCAGGGCTTGACTTGTAATCGATGTAGTGAGCGTGACAATGCCAATTACCAACACTCTTACTCTGTAGGAGTTGATCTGAAATCACCACAAACCCAGAGCTTCTTGTTTTCTTCTTATTCTGCTTCCGTACACTTTTTGAACCTTTTCTACTCCTTCAAATTTTTAACTGTTTCAACAATTTTAAATCAAAACGTTCAGCTCATTAAGCTCTTTCCGGCTATTACTTTTGGCATTTATAACTTTAAAATTTTTCGAGTTATTACGCTTTTTCTGCTAAAAAATTTCCCATTGAAATGAATGGGATTGGTCAATTTTCAGCAAATTCCTATCACTTTTTTTGACCTAAAACTCTATTGGGTTCCTTTTAACTTAGAGACTTCATTCAAAGTTGAACAAACTCACAAGACTTTCCTGTTTAACATATTAAAAAGGCTTTTTGATATATTTTACGGTTTTTCTAAAATTGCAGGTAGAAGTTGAGGTACGACTTGAAATTTTCAGAAAAATTCACAGAAGTTATAATGGGGAAAGATAGGAGTGGTGACCCTCCCTTGCTCCATTTCCGGCATTGTCCCGAGAGAACCGTAGGTCCGATTAAAATGAGACACACACATGGCTTACAGTGAACGAATATACCTTAGTTTTGAGCTGTAATTCATGACTGTACTCCAAACATTGTGGTCGTACGGTTCATTTGTTTGAGAAAATTCAAATTTAAAAAAATGTTTCCTACCACTAAACTGAAAATTCCGAACTCTAACTTTTGAACTTCACATCTTCTGTGAACAACTCTTTACTACCCCCAGACCGTTTGGACTACCAAAACAAATTATAACTCAAAAAGTAGGATTTTTGGTGAGCTTTTCAGAATGGGTTTCATTTTATCTGTAAATGTAATTTTGAAGATGTGAAGAAGTTACAAAGTGTGGTTGTCATGTTGTGGGGCAAGAGTCTAACCCAGGACATGCAGAATCAGAGTCAGAGTCATATTGTATAAAAAATAATAACATTTATTGACGAAACGGTGAACTAAGGGAGCACTGGAAAATCCAGCGGGTGCAGAAACGGGAAGCAGCGTCTAGAGGGAAAAGTAGCAGAGGTGAGTATGGAAGTTGTAGAATGGCAGGGGAATTGCTGGCTGAGGGACTTAAGGCTGAAGCGTGTGGGAGGGGTGAGCCGGGGTAAGTCCAGGTAATGATTGTAGAGCGGTAGAGGTGAATGAGGAATGGAATCCGGACCGGTGTGGTTCTGGAGAGGGAGCGAGAGGTGAAGGAGATCGGGTCGGCACTTGGAGGAGGGTGAACCAGGAAACGAACCAGATAAAAATCCAAAACGGCGACGGGGAAAACATGATTATCCAGACCTGAGGTGGGGTAACATCCAAAAATAGAATGAATCCAAGTCACGAGGGCTAGAGACTACCAGTCAGTAGTTAATCATCCGGCATCGAGTCTTCTTCTTCTTCTCCTCCTTCTGGTGTTTCATTGGCGGTTGGCAAACAACGAATGGTGCATTACCGCCACCAACTAGTGTGGAGTGTGGTCTGGAACAGCGCTCATAAAACAAAATCAAACATGGGAAAAAAATAAAAAAAATAAAAAAAAAATATATATATATATATGTATATATATAGATATAGATAGATATTTACATACACATCGGCGTCGAGTCATGTCCACCTTCCTCCTTATAAACCGGCCCGCTGATCAGCTGATTGGAAACAGCTGTTGCTCCCTCTCCTGAAACCAAAACACTCAGAGATAGTGAGATGATGAGACGAGTACTCACCCTGGCTCATGACAGTACCCCCCCCCCCCCTCCCACCACCACTCAGTGGACGCCCCCTGGCATCCTAGCTGAGGCAGCCTCGAACTCCCGGATGAGGGACGGGTCTTCAATGAACGAACGTGGCACCCAAGACCGCTCTTCGGGACCGTAGCCCTCCCAGTCGACGAGGTACTGGATTCCTCTGCCCCGACGACGAGAGTCTAGGATCTTGTTGACCGTGTAGACCAGACCTCCCTTATAGAGCCGAGCAGGAGGAGGAGGAGCCGGAGCAGGACAGAGAGGACTGGAGACCACAGGCTTGACTAACGGCACATGAAAAACCGGGTGCACACGCAGGGAGAGGGGAAGGTCCAAACGAACCGTAGTGGGAGAAGGCACGTCCAGAACCTTGAAGGGGCCATTGAAGCGAGGAGATAACTTGCGGGATGAAGCCTTTAAAGGGATGTCCTTTGAAGAAAGCCAGACCCTCTGTCCAGGTGTGTAAATCGGAGCCAGACGCCGCTGGCGGTCTGTCAACTGTTTATTCCTGAGAGCTGTTCGGTCCAGTGCTGCCCTGGTGGAGGCCCAGGCGCGTCTGGCACCGCGGAGGAATTGAGGTACGGAGGAAATAGAGGTTTGCTGGGGAAAAAGCGAAGGTTGGTATCCGAGAGACGACTCAAAAGGTGACTGACCTGTGGCGGAGGATATATGGCTATTGTGCGCATATTCAACCCAAGGAAGGTGAGTACTCCAGGAGGATGGATGAGACGAGCAGACACAGCACAGCATGGCACCCAGCTCCTGGTTTATCCGCTCACACTGTCCATTGGTCTGAGGGTGATGTCCCAAGGTGAGCGCCACCTTAGCTCCTAGGGCCCCTGCCAACGACCCTTTTATTTAATGCTGCTTTTAACTAAACCTTTTATTTTCTTATTTTTAACTCAAATTTTTAATCTTTCAACGGTTTATGAAAATTTATAATTTTATGACTATTTTTCCTGATGTTAATCAAATTCTGTTTAGAGGGCATTTTGATTTTATGATGTTAATCTATTTATGATTTTATGACTTTGTTTTATGTGAAGCACTTTATGATTCTATGTCTGTGATAAGTGTTGTATAAATAAAATTTACTTAGTGCTTACTTACACAGTCTTTTACTGATGACTACACAGGTACCATGTATGTGTACTTTCTGAAAGCAAAGAGCGATGCAGTTGCTGCAACTGAGAGATTCATAGCAGATGTAGCACCATATGGTGAGATAAAGTGCATTCGTTCAGACAACGGCACAGAATTTAAGAGCCAGGATTTTCAGACACTCTTAACTAAAAATAAGATCAGACATGAAAAAACTGCCCCCTACTCGCCTCATCAGAATGGCACAGCAGAACGAGGCTGGCGTACCCTCCTAGAGAAGAGTAGCTGTTTACTGATTGAAAGCAGGTTACCAGATAAACTGAACTACGCAATACAGGCTGCAGCATATATCAGAAACATGTGTTACAACAGACGCACAAAAAAAGCAGCCTATGTGATGTTGACAGGAAAGCAACCAAACATAGCAAAAATGCATAAGTTTGGTACAACATGCTTCCCTTACAAACAAGAAAAAGGAAAGTTTGAGTCCAGATGTGCTGAAGGAAATTTCATTGGGTATGATAATTACAGCCGAGCTTACCTTGTCTATTACCCAGATGAAGGCAGAGTCCAGAAACATAGGTTAGTGAAGTTTATTAACAATGCCACCAGTAAGAAAGAGACACATGCCCCAGAGTCACATTCAGAGTGTGCTCAAGAAACGGTTCCCCTGGGAGTGAACAATGATGTGAACTCAAAAGAGGAAAAAGAAGGGTCTATACACTCAAAACTGATGTTAATGGTGATAACAAATGTAAAGCAAGATTTGTGGCTAAGGGATACAACCAGAAAGAAGGGACAGATTTTGGTGAGACTTTCTCACCCACTGCTGACATGACAAGTGTAAGAATAGTGATGCAGAAGGCAGCACAGGAAGGTCTAACCTTACATCAGATGGATGTTAAGACAGCTTACTTGCATGCTCCAATAGATCATGAAGTGTTTGTGGAACAACCAGAAGGTTTTGAGAAGAAAACAAAAGGCCAGAAATTAGTATGTAAGCTAAGTAAGTCACTCTATGGCCTAAAACAACCAGGTCGAAATTGAAACTTATTGCTGCACAAATATTTGACTGGTAATGGTTTTAAACAGAATCCTGCTGATCACTGTTTATATTGTAGAGAATGAAACGATGAAAGGGTGATCTTAGTGATTTGGTCGATGATCTTATCCTTGCAGGAGACAGTGAACAAGCATTGAGTGATGTGAAGCAGATGCACATTGACAGATTTAAAATGAAAGACTTAGTGAGACTAAAGAATTTTTTGGGAATCAATTTCCAACAAAACAAAGACCAAGTCAAAATGTCACAGAGAGACTATGTGAACTATTGCTGGGTTCCTTATATAGGAAACATTATTTTTGATTGGCCTCCTAATGAACTGTCCTGAATTGGAATATTTAGTATGTGAAGTGCCTTGAGACAACTCTTGTCGTGATTTGGCGCTATATAAATAAACTTGAATTGAATCGAATTGAACAAAATACTAGAAAGATTTGGAATGAGAGATTGCAAGCCAAGGGCAACCCCTTGTGAGCAAAAACTACACTTTTCTGACAAAGGACAGAAAATGACAGAAGCGAGAAAGTACAGGG